TTGTAGATGGTATACACTGCTGCTACTAAGTGTTTGTGCTGAAGGGAGTAAATGTTTGTAGATGTAGGGCTAATCGAGTGGACTGCTTTTGTCTTGGACCTTTGTCAAGCTCCTTGAGTGTTCTTGGAGCTGCACACATCCAGGCAGGTACGGAGTATTTCATTACACACTTGACTTGTCCCTTGTAGATACTGAACAGGATTTGGCGAGTAAGAGGTGAGTAATTCACTATGGTATTCTTAGCCTCTGATCTACTTTTATAGCCATTGTATTTACATGGCTATGCCAGTTGAGTTTCTGATTAATGGTAACCCCCAGAAAGTTGATAGTGGGGAAATCAGTTATGCCAATGCCATTGAATATCAAGGATGATGCTTAGATTCTCTGTTGGAGATAGTCATTGCCTAGCACTTGTATGGCACAAATATTACTTGCCACTTGTCAGCTCAGACTGAATATTGTCCAGGTTTGCTGTATTTGAACATGGGCTATTTTAGTTTCTGAGGAACTGCGTGTTTCTACATTTTCGGGATTGAGATATCTCCACCATAGTGTTGAGGTTCTGTGTCATGTGTCCTAGTAGTATTGCCTTAGAGTCTAGAGACTCCATCTCCCAGGTTCTCAGCTCCTTGGAAGCTGTGAATACCTTCTCTGGGTACTGAGGATATTATCCCTGGAATGCATCATATTTGGACACTACAAGTAACATCTCTGGATGCTAATGATAAAAACTCCAAGTGCTGAACATACCTCTCTCTGTTAAAAGGAATAAGTGTTAAGTGAAAGGGAAGTAAGACATAAAGTGCAATGGCAAAGCAGGCCTGAGGTCAGGTGGAGTGGCAGCTGAGTGAAAATGTCTCAACACGGTGATATCAAAATCACTGCAAAGAGGTCAGAATCACACGACACCAGGTTATAGTCCAACAGGTTTATTTGAAAACACAAGCTTTTGGAGCCTCTCTCCTTCTTCAGGTGTTAGTGAGGTAGTATCAGACACAGAATTTATAAGTAAAAGATCAAAGTGTCAAACCACTGAGAGGATGTATCACATCACTGCAAAGAAGAAGTCATACAGCCCTTCATAGGAAAAATTACAAGATACATATCAGAAAGAGGGGATGACCAGAGGACTAATCAGATTGAAGAAAATTGAGTATTAATATTGTAAGAACATATCTTCTATTGTTTTATTTTTGATTGTGGTCAAAATATGAAAAGGACTGTGTCAAATCCAAGGTCTGTGGAAGGAACTGTTACACTTTGTAAAACACATTATGGAACTCATTGGGAGTTGTATTTACACTGCTGCTTTGCCCATAATTGGGAGGTGTGATGAGATGACATCGTACTAGGGGAAGAGTAGAGCGAGATTTAGGAGGCAACATGTGGCTGATTGGTTTGTGTAACTGTGACCAGTTGTGGATGCCAAAAGTCATTTGCTTGACAACAACTATCTGATTGACTCCTGGGTAGCTGACCTCCTGAGCAGCTGTGGATGTGAATGCTATTGGAAAGAGATACCATCAGCCTGCTAAAAGACCAGGTTCTACTCAGTAAAGGTATGTGAAGCCTGAAGAAAGCCTGTTATTTTCCCCCACCAGTTCCTGTCAACTTTGACCAGTAACTCAGAGACTTTACTAATTGACCTGTGCCTCCTGCGAGGTGAAAGAATTTGGAGAAAGGAGATCCAAAGAATAAAGGGTCTTGGGAGGCAAAAGTGTTACGACACGGGAATAGCAAGCCAAACCAAATCAGCACTTCTATCACTGGATTCACAGCACAGTAAAATTAAAACATTCAATGAACCTCAAAATTGTTCAAATGTTCCTAACCAGATTTAACAAATAACAGATTGTGGACAACATGTTTATAACTGTTAAGGTTTGATAGTGGATTCAGTCGGATGTAACAAAAAAACTCTAAGTTAAGTGATCCAAATAACACATTTATCAGTGGTAATATATATATTAAGCAGTGCTAAATTTATTAAGCAGGCCAGTTCCTAACAGCAAACATCAGTGTTTTGTTCTCTCCTTTCTTTTTTAAAAATAGATTGTTGTTCAAAGTTCAAATTCTCAATTGCAGTTCACAGATCCAATCCAAAAAAATGAGAAAAATAAAACCAAAACACCACAATGCTCCACGTGCCTCCACCCTCAAAAGAACGAAATGTCATTTCAATAATGTGTTTCATGACAAGATTAATAATACTTAAATGACAACTGAGATACAAACTCACAGACATTCAATTCTTCCTTACACCAGATTCTTTAATCATTATACAACTTTCTTAGTTACATTCACGAATTTTCAGTAGTTTGTTTTTTTTTGGGATAAAACATTAGCAATTACATTTTCCATCCCTGAAACAACAAAAGTGTTATGGTCAGCAGAACGTGAGGCAGACTTTGAGAAGCTTAATACAATCTTAATAAAAGAACTAGTGTTGGCTATCCCTGATTTTTGCAGACCTATTAAAATAGCATTTGATTTGGGGGTGGGTGCTGTCTTGTTACAGAATGATGATTTGGGAATGGAGAAGCCAGTGGGACACTTCTCCAGGGAAGTAAACCAGCCTCAGCAGAAGTACTATACAATAGAAACATTGAGATTATTATTGGCTCTTCAACACTTTGAAGTCTTTGTCCAACACAGTGACAGAGAAACATTAACTTACACAGACCCACAATACACTGACTTTCACTGAAACGTTGGAGTCTGTTACTTCAACCATTTGATGTTAAGGTCATTCACATTTCGGGAAAAGATAATGTGTTTGTAGATGATTAACTTGAGCTTAAGGTGGCAGAATAACCTAAAAGTTTTAGAAATGCTGATTGTATGAGGGTTCTATTTGGGGAGGAAGGATGAATGAATGTAAGTCTTGTGTTTCGTTGTTTGTGTGTCACAGACACTATGAAGGGAAAGAAGATTAGCTAATAGACAGGGTGGAAGAGAATGGGAGAAAGTTGGCACTTTCAAGTTGGCTGTAAGTAATGGAGTGCCACAAGGATCAGTGTTATGATTCCAGAAGTTCATAGTTCAATATCTAAGACAGACTGTAACTACATTTGTTGACACAAAGGAAGGAGGATCTCTCTTTCTTGAGGGTGATGATTGCTGTTTCTGAGGGTGAGGGTCTCTCTTTCAGTGGTTGAGGGCTGTCTTATTGAGTATGACTCTATCTGGGGTGTGTCTCTCTCTCTTTCCCTGGGAATGTAATGAGGGTCTCCTTTTTGGGGGTGAGAGTGTCTCTCTCTCTCTCTCTCTCTCTCTACCTCTCTCTCTCTGCGGGTGTCAGTCTGTTTCTCTCTTTCTCTGGGAGAGGGTCTCCTACTCTGGGTGTGAGGGTCTCTCTAATTTTGATAATAGAAACATAGAAAATACGCCGTTCGGCCCTTCCACCTAGCACCACTATTCAATACGATCATGGCTAATCATGCAATCTCAGTATCCAATTCCCACCCTCTCCCCATACCCCTTGATCCCTTTAGCCACAAGGGCCACACCCATCTCCCTCTTGAATATATTTAATGAACTGGCCCCAACAGCTTCCTGTAGGAGAGAATTTCACAGGTTCACAACTCTCTAAGTGAAGAAATTCTTCCTCATCTCTGTCCTGAAAGGCTTGCCCCTTATTTTTAGACTGTGATCCCTTGTTTTAGACTTCTCCAACATCAGGAACATTCCTCCCACATCTAGCCTGTCTAGTCCCATGAGGATTTTATATGTTTCTACGAGATCCCTCCTCATTTTTCTAATTTCCAGCGAATACAAGCCCAGTCAATCCAGTCTTTCTTCATATGTCAGTTCTGTCACCCTGGGAATCAGTCTGGTGAACTTTCACTGGACTCCCTCAATTGCAAGAATGTCCTTCCTCAGATTAGGAGAGCAAAACTACACTCAATACTCAAGGTTTGGCCTCACCAAGGCCCTGTATAACTGCATTAAGATATCTTTACTCTCCTATACTTAAATCCTCTCGCTATGAAGGCCAGCAAGCCATTAGCTTTCCTCACTGCCTGCTTCATTCTGTATGCCAACCTTCAGTGACTGTTCCACCATGGCACCCAGGTCTCGTTGCACCTTGCCTTCTCCTAAACTGCCACCATTCAGATAATAATCTGTTTTTGTGACCAAAGTGGGTAACCTCACATTTATCCACACTATATTGCATTTGCCAAGTATTTGCCCACTCAGCCTGGTTATCCAAGTCACCCTGCAGCTTCTTATAGCATCCTCCTCACAGCACACACTGCCAACCAGCTTAGTGTCATATGATGAGGATCTTTGACTGCAGGTGAGTGTCTGTCTGCCTGGGAGTGAGGGTCAATCTCTATGGGTGAACACATATTTTGCTCTCTCCGTCTGGATGTGAGGGTCTCTCTCTCTGTTTTTCTCTGTGAGGTAGGTTTCTCTTTCTCTCTCTCTCTCTGTTTTTCTCTGGGTGTGAGGGTCCCTATCTGTCGGGATGACAGTCTAATTCTTGGTGTGAACATTTCTCTCTCCAGGCATAGGGGTCTCTTTCTTCAGGGAAAAGGGCCTTTGCCCTGGGTCTGTATCGGTCTCTAGGTGTCTCTTTCCTTTTCTCTATCTCTGGGGGTTTGTCTCTCTCTCTCTCTCTCCTTACATCTTTGGTTTGTGTGTGTCTCTCTCTTCCAATCTCAGTGAGTTCGTGTCTCTCTCTCTCTGGGTGTGAATTTCACTGTCTCTAGGCCTGTTAAGTCTCTCTTCGTCTTTAGGGGACGGTATCTGCCTCTGGGTGGAAATATTTCTCTCCAGGGGAAGAAGCTCTCTTTGGATAAAGGTTTCTCTCAGTTGAGGGTCTCTCTCTCTCCTTCAGTGGGAAGGGTTTCTCTAGGGGTGAGGATTACTCTGGGGTTGAGGGTGTCTCAGTAGGGAAGGGTCTCCGGGTGGCTCTCTCTCTCGGTGGCTGTGGGGATGTCGGTCTCTGGCTGGCTGGGGTGGGGATGTATTTCGGGAGGGGCTGGTGTCTGTCGCTCTGGAGCCCTCCCCTTGCCCCAGCGCTGGCTCGGGGCTAGGGAGGATGCTGAAGCCGTGATCCAAAGGAGGAGCAGCCGCCGGGAGAGAGACAGAGACCGGGACAGACTGAGACACAGGCTCCGGAACCTCTCTGCCCATGTGGACCCTGGCGGTGGTATTTCTGATCGGGGCTTTCCCAGGAGCAGGTAACACCCGGGATAGGGAGCGGGGGGAGAGTGAGAGAGAGAGAGAGTGAGGCCGGGATAGGGAGCGGGGGGGAG